ATATTAATTGATAATGATGGAAAATAGGATATGCATAATAAAAATAAAATAAAATAAAATATATATATATATATATATATAGAGGTGAAAGCATTGGAAATGCTTTTGGCGGTTAATCTGCTTCTGTTTTGTGGGTGCCACTGTGTGCTGTTTTCGATGGATGGGTCCTGGCCTCTCGGGGCCTTAGGGATACGGAGGGACGTGGGTGGGATGCTGATCACTGGGATGACGGCTCAACTTGGGATGGGGAGGGGCTTTAGCGGGGGAATTAGTGGAGAACAATTGAAGGGTTACTCCGTAGCAATGCAAATATCACGGTACAGCTATATGGACACTCAATCATTACGCTATTTTTTATTGGTAAATTTACAAACATATATAATGATAAATAGACTTGAAACTTGTATCTCATTATGGTGTATGGTGAAATAAGTATAGCCAGTTATAATTGTAATGGCTTAGCTGATAATAACAAAAGAAGAACAATATTTACATGGCTCAAAGAGAAGGAATATAATATCTATTGTATACAGGAAACTCATTCAACAATTCGAGATGAAGTAGCGTGGAAAAAAGAATGGGGGGGGGGAATATACTTCTCCCATGGGCAGAGAAATTCAAAAGTGGTGATGATATTAATTAATAGTAATTTCGATCCGAATGTGCAAATTGTCCAAATAGATACGCAAGGTAGATGGATTATTTTAAATATGTTATTGGACCATAAACAGATATGGCTCATTAACCTTTACGGACCAAATAATGATGATCCACAATTCTTTGACAATATATATAATACATTTTCAAGCCTGCAAGCAACTCAAGACAATATTATTATGGTGGGGGATTATAATACTGTTTTAAATAGCTCAATGGACCGTAAAGGAAATCACACCACAAACAATCACCCACATGCTCTTAAGGAAATTGTGAATGTCATGGATACATTAGAACTAGTAGATATATGGAGGCTTAAATATACTGATCTAGTGAGATATACATGGCGGAGACTGAATCAAGCTAGTCGTCTTGACTTCTTTCTTATCTCATTCTTGTTGGCACCAAAAGTAAAAAAAAGTGTTGATAGGGGACAGAATGCGGTCGGACCATCATATAATAGGCATATACATTACTCTTACTGAATTTCCACGTGGGCGAGGATATTGGAAATGTAATCAAAGCCTATTGGATGATAATTTATTCATAATTAGAACAAAGGAATTTATAACTGACTTTTTCCAACATATTGTATGGGACACCATTAAATGTGCCTTTAGAGGCCATGCAATTCAGTACTCATCTCGAAAACAAAAGCAATTTAGGTCAAAAGAGTTTATACTAAGAAAGGAAATAGAAAATCTAACAGAACAGATAGATGGCAATAAAAACTGTAACATAGAGGCTCAGAATAAATTAGAGGAAAAACAAAAAGAAATGGAGAAACTTATTCAAGAAAGATCAAGTGTAATATATTATAAAAATAAAGCAAACTGGATGGAATATGGGGGAAAATGCACAAAATTATTTTTTAATCTTCAACATAGGAATGCTACCAAAAAGAACTTAATGAAACTGGTTACAATTGACGGTTTCACCCATAATTCACCAAATGATATTTTGAAGGAAGAAACAAAGTACTTTAAGCATATGTTTTCTTTTCAGTCGCCTCCATCTCCTCTAACTGAAGCTAATTGTAGAGATTTTTTTCTATTGATAATGTCAAATTAACAGCCACACAGAACGACTCATGTGAAGGTGAAATTACAGAGGAGGAACTTCTGGATGCAATTAAAGACTTTAAGTCCGGGAAAACTCCAGGGTTGGATGGCATACCAGTCGAGGTATACCAAACCTTTTTTGATATACTAAGCGGACCGTTATTAGCATGTTTTAACCACTCCTATGTAAATGGTAGATTATCTGACACTCAAGAAGAAGGTATGATCTCATTATTACTGAAACAGGATACAAGTGGAAAATATAAAGATCCAGTCCATTTACAAAATTGGAGGCCCCTTACACTTCAGTGTTGTGATGCAAAAATCCTAGCAAAATGTATAGCGCATAGAATTAAAAAGGTATTGTCGGATATTATTCATTCTAATCAAACAGGTTTTTTACATGGAAGATACATTGGAGATAATATAAGGCAAGTATTGGAAACAATAGAACACTATGGAAAATATGGGAAACCAGGCCTGCTATTCATAGCAGACTTCGAAAAGGCATTTGATAAAGTTCGACTGGGGTTTATATATAAATGCCTGGAGCATTTCAATTTTGGAGAATCTCTTATAAAATGGGTCAAAATCATGTATAGTAACCCTAGGTGTAAAATAGTAAATAATGGCTATTTCTCAGAAAGTTTAAACTGTCAAGAGGAGTGAAACAAGGATGTCCACTATCGGCATATCTATTTATTGTGGCCATCGAGATGTTAGCTATTAAAATCAGATCCAATAATAATATCAGAGGATTAGAAATACAGGGCTTAAAAACAAAGGTGTCATTGTACGCTGATGATTCATGTTTTCTTTTAAATCCACAACTAGAATCCCTCCACAGCCTCATAGAGGATCTAGATACATTTTCTAACCTCTCTGGATTACAACCAAATTATGACAAATGTACTATATTACGTATTGGATCACTAAAAAATACTATTTTTACATTACCATGTAGTTTACCAATAAAATTGTCTGATGGTGATGTGGATATACTCGGAATACATATCCCAAAGGAAATAAATGATCTCACTTCAATACATTTTAATAGAAAGTTAGCAAAAATAGACAAGATCTTACTACCATGGAAAGGAAAATACCTGTCAATTTGTGGAAAAATCACCCTGATTAACTCTTTAGTATTATCCCAGTTTACCTATTTGCTTATGGTCTTGCCTACGCCTAGCGAACAGTTTTTTTAATTATATGAGAAAAAAAATTCAATTTTATTTGGAACGGCAAGCCAGACAAAATTAAAAGAGCATATTTATATAATGAATATGAATTCGGAGGACAGAAATTATTAAATATTAAAGCATTAGACCTATCACCAAAAGCTTCAGTCATACAAAAGTTATACTTAAATCCGAACTGGTTCTCAAGCAAATTAGTAAGATTGTCTCACCCAATGTTCAAGAAAGGCCTTTTTCCCTTTATTCAGATTACAACCTCTCACTTGCAGTTATTTGAAAAGGAAATAATCTCCCAAATGTCACTATTTCTAAAACAAGCCATAGAAAGTTGGTTGCAATTTCAATTTAATCCTCCAGAAACGACAGAACAAATAATGCAACAAATATTGTGGTTAAATTCAAATATACTAATTGACAAAAAACCTTTATTTTTTGACAGAATGTTTAAAAAAGGTATTATCTTCGTAAATGATATCATCGGTAGGACTGGTGGAGTTATATCGCACATGCAGCTAACAAAAACATATGGAAATGTCTGCTCTACCCAAAATTACAACCAAATAATTGCAGCCTTACCGCAAAAGTGGAAGAGGAAAGTGGAAGGGGGAGAAAGTAAGGAACTTGTCTGTCGGCCTTGCATTAAAGAACATAATTGGTTAAGGAAAACTGTGATAAATAAAAAAGTATATCAGTTTCACTTAAGGACCAAAGGATTGACAGCCGTCCCATATAGATTGCAAAATAGTTGGGAAGAGATCTTTGACGTACCGATCCCATGCCATAGTGTTTATGAACTGACATGCAAAACGACACCGGATTCAAAAATTAGAATCTTTAAATTTAAATTATTATATAAAATTCTTGCTACCAATAGAATGTTATTTATATGGGGGATACAATCTTCCCAGCTCTGCAGGTTTTGCTGTGAAGAGACAGAATCATTAGATCATTTGTTTTGGTTCTGTCCATTTGTAGCTTGTTTTTGGACACAGGTCCAGGAATGGCTAAAGGATTGCAATATTTACCTGGAACTAACCTTGCAGATAGCATTACTGGGTGATCTGAAAAGTCATAGTCAATCAATCAATAATATAATAATACTTTTAGCAAAAATGTTAATTTTTAATTCACAATCTGTAGAAGCAATGAGAATAGAAAGGTTCAGAATTTTTGTAAAACATCACAGTACGGTTGAAATATATATGGCAAATAGAAATCCTATATGGATGGTGTTAAGAGATAGATGGGAGGTATTGAATAGAGTTGAAGGATGGGACTAATAACAAATAACAACAAATAATAACAAAGATAGCTAATAATGTAAGCATACTGTGTCCATAATAAGTATATAAGGTTGTATGTTGGGAGCTTTTGGGAAGGAGCACAGTTAGAAAGATATGGCATATAGAAGCAAACCGGATGGACACCATGAAAATGATCGGAGAGGTTGAGAGTAGAAGAAGTTCAGGAGCAAAAAAAAATAAAACAATAAAAAAAAAAAAATATATATATATATATATATATATATATAATAGAATTATTGTAAAATTAACTCTGTCCATAAGGTGTAGATAGTAAGTATAGACCGGAAGTAGAGGCCTGGGCATTGTTGTTCACTAATTTACTCCAAGTAGGGAAAGGATGGTGGGATTGAAAAGTAATAAAGGGGAGTATATATATAAAAAATAAAAAAAACATGGGGGATTGGAAGTGATGCAGACAATTACATTGATAGAAGACACAATCTATCTGCAATATTAAGCTGATCCATTCCCCCCCCCCCCAAAAAAAAAAGAGTGTGCAAAGCTGTCATCAAGGCAAAGGGTGGCTATTTGAAGAATCTGAAATATAGAATATATTTTGATTTGTTTAACACTTTTTTGGTTAATACATGATTCCATATGTGTTATTTCATAGTTTTGATGTCTTCACTATTATTCTACAATGTAGAAAATAGTCAAAATAAAGAAAAACCCTTTAATGAGTAGGTGTGTCCAAACTTCTGACTGGTACTGTACGTTAAAGGCTTTGTATTTATTTAGTTTTGATTGGTGGAGAATTATTGCAGGCACGGGATAAGTAATCAGGCACGGGATTTGACATTCTGAGCCTTGTCGTTCAAGTCAATTTGGTTAGAGACAGTTTTGAGCTCTTGCTGTTCAGACTTTCTATCGCTCTTCCTCCGTAAACATTTGAAGAGAGCAGTGCCAGGCACAGATAGACTGGGTATCCCTGCCAGGATAAAGATGATCACATAGATCCAGGCTGGATAGGGCTTCTCCTCCAACGTAGGGAAGTTGTCCTATAATGGAAGATTAATGGTATAAGGCTTTTAGTATGTTCTTGTTGTCACTGTAATGTACAGTACCATATGGAGATTATATGCATAATGTAGCTATACATGTAAATATAGGCATATGTGAAATCTTTGTCATGCCATTTTCTTTGTGAGTAGTACGTTAAGAGGCCTAGAAGCAAACTACAGCAACATTTAGGTGTTGCAATTTGGATTTTAGATTTCAACAGATTTGCAGACTTGACAGAGTAAAAACCTTACCGATTCAGGATTCCAGGTTTTATAGAGGAGCGTTTCGGTGACTTTAGTGATAAAGTAGAACACAAAGATGACAAACATGATGGCGGGGCTGATAAATCTCCATGTAATCTGCCAGAAGAGGTTGGGCTTGTGGCCGATCATGAACTCAATGTCATCGTTGAACCTGGCACAGAGAGAGAGACCCACAAGAGAGAGACCCACAAAACTATTGTTATTATACAGTGAGGGAAAAAAGTATTTGATCCCCTGCTGATTTTGTACGTTTGCCCACTGACAAAGAAATGAATGATCAGTCTATAATTTTAATGGTAGGTTTATTTGAACAATGAGAGACAGAATAGCAACAACAAAATCCAGAAAAACACATGTCAAAAATGTTATAAATTGATTTGCATTTTAATGAGGGAAATAAGTATTTGACCACTCTGCAAAACATGACTTTGTACTTGGTGGCAAAACCCTTGTTGGCAATCACAGAGGTCAGACGTTTCTTGTAGTTGGCCACCAGGTTTGCACACATCTCAGGAGGGATTATGTCCCACTCCTCTTTGCAGATCTTCTCCAAGTCATTAAGGTTTTGAGAATGATGTTTGGTAACTCGAACCTTCAGCTCCCTCCACAGATTTTCTATGGGATTAAGGTCTGGAGACTGGCTAGGCCACTCCAGGACCTTAATGTGCTTCTTCTTGAGCCACTCCTTTGTTGCCTTGGCCGTGTGTTTTGGGTCATTGTCATGCTGGAATAACCATCCACGACCCATTTTCAATGCCCTGGCTGAGGGAAGGAGGTTCTCACCCAACATTTGACGGTACATGGCCCCGTCCATCGTCCCTTTGATTCAGTGAAGTTGTCCTGTCCCCTTAGCAGAATTACACCACCAAAGCATAATGTTTCCACCTCCATATTTGACGGTGGGGATGGTGTTCTTGGCGTCATAGGCAGCATTCGTCCTCCTCCAAACACGGCGAGTTGACTTGACGCCAAAGAGCTCGATTTTGGTCTGACCACAACACTTTCACCCAGTTCTCCTCTAAATCATTCAGATGTTCATTGGCAAACTTCAGACGGGCCTGTATATGTGCTTTCTTGAGCAGGGGAACCTTGCGGGCGCTGCAGGATTTCAGTCCTTCACGGCGTAGTGTGTTACCAATTGTTTTCTTGGTGAATATGGTCCCAGCTGCCTTGAGATCATTGACAAGATCCTCCCGTGTAGTTCTGGGCTGATTCCTCACCGTTCTCATGATCATTGCAACTCCACGAGATGATATCTTGCATGGAGCCCCAGGCCGAGGGAGACAGTTATTTTGTGTTTCTTCCATTTGCGAATAATCGCACCAACTGTTGTCACCTTCTCACCAAGCTGCTTGCCGATGGTCTTGTAGCCCATTCCAGCCTTGTGTAGGTCTACAATCTTGTCGCTGACATCCTTGGAGAGCTCTTTGGTCTTGGCCATGGTGGAGAGTTTGGAATCTGATTGATTGATTGCTTCTGTGGACAGGTGTCTTTTATACAGGTAACAAACTGAGATTAGGAGCACTCCCTTTAAGAGTGTGCTCCTAATCTCAGCTCGTTACCTGTAAAAAAGACACCTGGGAGCCAGAAATCTTTCTGATTGAGAGGGGGTCAAATACTTATTTCCCTCATTAAAATGCAAATCAATTTATAACATTTTTGACATGCGTTTTTCTGGATATTTTTGTTGTTATTCTGTCTCTCACTGTTCAAATAAACCTACCATTAAAATTATAGACTGATCATTTCTTTGTCAGTGGGCAAACGTACAAAATCAGCAGGGGATCAAATACTTTTTTCCCACACTGTACATATCTTCAACACCAGTACTATGGATGGAAATTAAGTTAGCCCGTTAGCCTGATGTTAGTATTTTCAGACCGGGCTAGTAGAAAATGTGCCAACCTGGCCCACTGGCGGGTGACATTTTGTCTTCTCAAATATGGCACAGATTTTGGACCCGGACAAGTAGAATTTGAGGTCTACTAGCCCGGCTGGCCAGTACCCAAAATCCTTGAGTTCCATCCAATCACAGTTTGTTGTGGTAATTCTGTGTCTTCTACTGTAGCGTTTCTAACACAACCCCGACTATCTCACAGAATGAATTTATTATACTCACCGATCAATACCATAGAGGTACACAACCCCGACCATCTCACAGAATGCAATTATCAGTAGAGGTATGGACCCAGCAAAGCTGTCAAAGAGGGACAGCCAGTAGTTCCCTGAGCCTTGGACAAATATCAGTCCAACAAGGCAGCAGAGGACACATGTTATCCCTGTAACAGAATAAAGAACATGAGTTAAAGATATTTAACAAAGAGGTCTCAATCTCTCAATGTAGGAGACAATAAGTCTGGATTGCTCTTGTCCAGAAACGGACTGGCCATAGGGCAGTTCGGGCAAATGACAGATAGGCTGGTCCATCTTTAGCCCAGTGGGCCTGTTTAAATTGGGGGTTTTGGTCAGAAGGAAATAAATGGGCCGGTGTGTTGCCTGAGCTGATGTCCGGCCTCAGTCTGTCCCAGCTCTTGCCTCACCTGTGGTGGCCTCCTTGGGCCAACTCTTGGGGAAAACCCCCAGGTCCTGAAGTGGTACCAGAACTCCTTCGATATTGCCAAACATGGAGGACAGGCCCAGACAGAACAGCATGATGAAGAACAAGACTGACCAAACAGGAGATACAGGCATCTTAGTGATGGCCTCTGTGAACACAATAAAGGCTAGACCAGTTCCTTCAACCCCCTACATCAGGACACACAGAGAAGGAGTGGAATTAGATCCTGTTTTAAATAACATTGTGTTACTACACTGTGTAGGAGTAGACTATTATGTCTATAGTTCCCTTTGGGATTGCCATTGCCATATAGTCAAGCTGAAATAATATTCTGATATTGTCAGTATTTATAAGAGACCTTAGACCATTCACAGATTAGGCCTAGTGCTGGACTAAAAAGCGCTTTCAATGGAGAATCTCATTGAGCATGCTTGTTAGTCCGGGACTACGGTTAATCTGTGTCTGGGAAACCAGCCCTAAAAATCCTACCTCGCTGAGGAAAGTGTTTAAGTCACAGGTCTTCAAGTTGAGCCCCTGAATGACTTCTGGATATGTTCCATTGAGACTATGAAGAACCTGATCATAGTTGCTTTCAGTGATGTTGCCCTCAGGGAGATCAAATGTATTCAGTAGCGCCAGGATATTTCTACAGAATCATTGTGGAAAATTAGTTGATGTCATGGCCTCTTTCACTGTAACATTAAATCTAACTATAACACACCGGCTATCATACTGTCATATCGGATGTAGGGGACACTGTTAGGGACATGTAGGGTTGCAAAATTCCCAGATTTTCCAGAAATCGTGGTTGGAGGATTCCCGGATGTCCTGCATATCCCATCCTGATTCCAGGACTCTTCCAACTGGAATTTCTGAAAAACCTGGGAATTTTGGGAAAGGTGACACATTTTTGGCAACTTTCTGCAACTGTACTCTTATCCTATTAGATGCAGTGATACATAGTAGATACATGTCATCTACAGAGACGGGTAAATTCCTACCCGCCACGACAGCTGTCGAATCTCTCTGTGGCTCTGAAGCCAATGATGGTGTAGATGACTGTTGCAGCGTAGACGGAGGTGAAGCCATTGACGGCAGAGATGATCACTGCGTCCTGTTCACAGTTGTTACTGGGAATCGAAAACAACACACAACTCCTGCTGAGACTGGGGCTGGGGCTGTCCTAATATGGACACCGTACCGGTCTGTTTCAGCGCGGTTGTCGTGCTTTATAATGCAATTCAAAAGTCCCAATACAACATAGTGATAGATTAATTATTCATGACTAATTATTACACCCTGAAACTGTGTATAATGTGTTAGAAATGTGTGAGTGTAGGACCAGTAAAGGCTATGGCATTGAGCCACTATTTAGCAATGTGAGTAAGAGTTAGGCCAGACAACAAAGACAACTGAGAAACTAAGATAAAGAGGCCTCCCAATTTAGGGAGGGGAGAAACTGTTATGAAAACATGGTGCAGAATATTGTGAGAACGGCAATAACTGAGTAAAGCAGGGAGTAGGATATGTGTGTGTGTGTGTGTATGTATGTGTGTATGCATGTGTGTATATGTGTGTGTGTGTGTAAACAGAAGGTCAGTAGAGCAGTTTTAGAGTGGAAAACTACAGCCCGCCTACAGAGGGGAGGGATTTATTTTTGTATGACGTATGAGTATAAAAGATGGACTCTGAAATTGTGATGGCAGAATTCTCAATGAATAAATATCTCTGACTATGCAGACCGGGACTCTGGCCGTTACTTAAATCCCAAAAGACTTACAACCTTTTGGGAGACGCACAGAGAAACTGAAATAGTTTGTTAAATAATTCACATAACACATAGTAAACAACTGTTTCTAAAATATATAATACATTGATTAAACCATAGTAGTTTAGATGGGTGATTGTGACTTACTGCACTGAGTTATAGCTGGAGAAAGAGATGAGGCCGCCAAACGCTATGGAGAAGGAATAGAACACCTGGGCACCTGCATCCAGCCAGGTAGTTGGGTTGGCCAGCTCTGCCAACTGGGACAACAACACAACGTTTTGTTACATCAGCAAGCTCTGCCAACTGGGACAACAACACAACGCTTTGTTACATCAGCAAGCTATGCCAACTGGGACAACAACACAACGTTTTGTTACATCAGCAAGCTCTGCCAACTGGGACAACAACACAACGTTTTGTTACATCAGCAAGCTCTGCCAACTGGGACAACAACACAACGTTTTGTTACAACAGCAAGCTATGCCAACTGGGACAACAACACAACGTTTTGTTACATCAATCAGATTTACCTGACTATATATGACATTTATAGCTGATATCATTTCAGGGATGGGCTTGTATTTCTTTTAGTGTGAGTTTTTAGTGTAACAGTGTCCCAAATGGCACCCTATTCTCTATGTAGTGCACTACTTTTAACCAGGGTCCATAGGGCTCTAAGTAAAAGTAGTGCACTATGTAGGGAATAGGGTGCCATTTGGGCCGTAAACACGTGACTTACGTCCGGGGTGAAGAGAAACACGACTCCACTCAAAGAGCCTTTCAAAGTCAGACCTCTGATCAGGAAAATGCTCAACACTACGTAGGGTAGCGTTGAGGTGACATACACAGCCTATGAGGAGAGGGGAGACGGTGATGTCACTATACCTTTGCAATCACTGAGACATGATAACATAAAACTACCTTTATACTGTTTTATTTGTCAATTTCCAATTTTCATCCATTGTTATTGGTCATAATTGGTCATAAATGTGAACGTTATCATGTAGTCCTTGTCTCAGATATGTTGAGCTGCTATACCTTCCCAGTGGTCTCGATGCCTCGGATGATGCAGATATAGAGCATAGCCCAGGCACTGACTAGACACAGCACCATCCACCACTGCAGACCCCCGTTCTCACCAATGTCTGGGGTGGTGTTCAGGGTCTCTCTGTACCAGAAGTAATCCACTGGGGAGCTCAGCTCACACTCTGACACCAGGCCTGGGACATTTATGTTAAAAAATCGACAAATAATACATTATTAGAATTAGACATACATGATTGGATTATTCATACATAGGCTGCATCCCAAATAGCACCCTATTCCCTAGTGCAGGGTTTCCCAAACTCGGTCCTCAAACTCATAATAAATGTACTTCTTCCTTGTAATGTAGCTATCATCCTGAGGGTGAAGCATGTTTATCAGGATTGAGGTCAATTCCATTTCAATTCAGTTAATTAATTCAGGAAGTAAACTAACATTTTTCTCAGTTCTCCTCTATGGAATATCTGTTGACTTCCTGAATTAGCTGAATTTAAAATGGAATTTACCCCTGACCCCTGACTCCCATAATGTCTCAAATACTGTACAGTACATCTCATTTTTTTAATGAATGCATGAAGACTGTGTCTGTACTGCACTCTTACCTGTTAGATTGTCATTGAGGGGACACTGGCTCCAAGGAAGCGTCTCTTGGAAGGAGTTAAACAAGTACCACATCACCCAGGCCATGATGGTGTTGTAGTACAGGCTGATCATAAGAGAAACAAACATGGACGCAATGCCTGGCAAGAACACAGAGCAGTGCTTGATTACCAACAATGACGAGAGCGTCTACAGGGAGGAGGTGAGGGCTCTGGGTGTGTGGTGCCAGAAAAATAACCTCTCACTCAACATTAACAAAACAAAGGAGATGATCGTGGACTTCAGGAAACAGCAGAGGGTGCACCCCCCTATCCTCATTGACAGGACCGCAGTGGAGAAGGTGGAAAGCTTCAAGTTCCTTGGCGTACACATCACCGACAAACTGAAATGGGCCACCCATGCAGACAGTTTGGTGAAGAAGGCGCAACAGAGCCTCTTCAACCTCAGGAGGCTGAAGAAATTTGGCTTAGCACCTAAAACCCTCACAAACTTTTACAGATGCACAATTGAGAACATCCTGTCGGCTGTATCACCGCCTGGTACGGCAACTGCACCACCCGCAACCGCAGGGCTCTCCAGAGGGTGGTGCAGTCTGCCGAACGCATTACCGGGAGCAAACTACCCGCCCACCAAGAAACATACAGCACCCGATGTCACAGGAAGGCCAAAAAGATCATCAAGGACATCAACCACCCGAGCCACTGCCTGTTCACCCCGCTATCATCCAGAAGGCGAGGTCAGTACAGGTGCATCAAAGCTGGGACCGAGAGAATGAAAAACAGCTTCTATCTCAAAGCCATCAGACTGTTAAATAGCCATCACTAGCACATTAGAGGCTGCTGCTGCCTATTTTAAATCACTGGCCACTTTAAGAACTCTAGTTACTTTAATAATGTTTACATATCTTGCACGACTCATCTCATATGTATATACTGCATTCTATTCTATAATATTCTACTGTATCTTAGTCCATGCCGCTCTGTCATTGCTTGTCCATATATGTATATATTCTTAAATCCCATTCCTTACTAGTTTTGTGTGTATTGGGTATATGTTGTGAAATTGTTAGATATTACTTGTTAGATATTACTGCACTGTCGGAGCTAGAAGCACAAGTATTTCGCTACACCCGCTATAACATCTGCTAAACACGTGTATGTGACAAATAAAAATTGATTTATTTGATTTATTTGAGTCCATGATGACTGAAGGTTTATTGAAGCAGCATGTGTAGCTCTGGTCCCGGGGCGTTTACCTGCTGCTTACATGCAGCAAACTGCACGTGCCCTGGACCAGAGATAGGGAAAGTGTTGCTTACCAACTCCAGCCAAGTAAGGATGGATAGTTGACCACACCCCTAAACTGCCTTTCCTTAGACGTTGACCAATAGCAAACTCCAGATGGAGCAGGGGAACACCTTCTAGAACCAGCAGGATCAGGAAAGGAATCATGAATGCACCTGAGAACAAAGGGGGGACAATCAAAGCTCTTAAAACGTTGGTAAAAAGACTCTTAATGACATCTCATGACATACAGACACCTGCAGATGTAATGGAGTACATATTACCAGTCGTACTGCGGTATGGATAAAAACAGGGGGCTCATAGATACACATACCTGTCTATCTAAACATACTGCCAAAAAAAAAGGATAGAGAGAAATAGCGAGAGAGAGAAACAATTTAACCACTTGGGAATCACATAACACTGACGTCCTTTTACGGAGACAAGTCAATACACCTGTTGCAGGCAGGAACGGCAAAAGTAAAGGATTTACTGGGGCACGGGATAGTGTTGGTGCTGGTGGTTCAATGTACAGGTGACTATCCCTCCGTCCACAACAAACACTTCTCAAGGCTTTCCGCTCCATCAGCAGTCTTCAGTACATAACAGTCCTTATCTGCCTTAACAGTCCTTATCTGCCTTATCAGTCATTCAGGCGCTTGTAGTCAAACAGTTTCCATAGAACATGATGGGATGTTACTGTAAGTCCATTTACGCATTCTCTCTGTATTTAGATAAGATAAGAGCAGAAGTGTTTCCGTACATTCCATTTATCACACTAGGAGGATTTTACTGGGCTAAAGCATCTTATCTACCCTAGGTCGGCACAAGAAAGCCCATGTTCTACTTATATCCCTCATTTATCCCAGTTTAGAACCATTAGAAATAGTATTCTCATTGTTTGCCTAAAATACAGTAGATGGCTATACAGTGCCTTCAGAAAGTATTCACACCCATTGACTTTTTCCACATTTTGTTGTGTTACAGCCTGAATTTAAAATTGATTAAATTTAGATTTTGTGTGACTGGCCTACACACAATACCCCATAATGTCGAAGTGGAATTATGTTTTGTGAAATTCTTACAAATTAATAAAAAATGAAAAGCTGAAATGTCTAGAGTCAATAAGTATTCAACCCCTTTGTTATGGCAAGCCTAAATAAGTTCAGGAGTAAAAATATGCTTAACAAGTCACAATAAGTTGCATTGACTCAAAAAAATCAAAAAATAGAATAATATCTAGACTCTACAATAATAGTGTTTACCATGATTTTTGAATGACTGCCTCATCTCTGTACCCCACACATACAATTATCTGTAAGGTCCCTCAGTCGAGCAGTGAATTTCAAACACAGATTCAACCAAATAGACCAGGGAAGTTTTCCAATGTCTCACAAAGAAGGGCAAATATTGGTAGATGGGTAAAAAAACAAACAGACATTGAATATTCCTTTGAGCATGGTGAAGTTATTAATTACACTTTGGATGGTGTATCAATACACCCAGTCACTACAAAGATACAGGCGTCCTTCCTAACTCAGTTGCCGGAGAGGAAGGAAACCGCTCAGGGATTTTTCCATGAGGCCAATTGTGAATTTAAAACAGTTACAGAGTTTAAAAGCTGTGATAGGAGAAAACTGAGGATGGATCAACAATATTGTAGTTACGCCACAATACTACCTTAAATGACAGAATTAAAAGAAGGAAGCCTGTACAGAATACAAATATTCCAATACATGCATCCTGTTTGCAATAAGGCACTAAAGTAAAACTGCAAAAAATCTGACAAAGAAATTAACTTTATGTCCTGAATACAAAGCGTTATGTTTGGGGCAAATCCAACACAACACATCACTGAGTACCACTCTCCATATTTTCTAGCATGGTGGTGGCTGCATCATGTTATGGGTATGCTTTACATCGACTAGGGAGTTTTTTAGGATAAAAAGAAACCGAATTGAGCTAAGCACAGGCAAAATCCTAGAGGAAAACCTGGTTCAGTCTGCTTTCCAACGACACTGGGAGACGTTCACCTTTCAGCAGGACAATAACCTAAAACACAAGGCCAGATATACACTGGAGTTGCTTACCAAGACGACACGCAATGTTCCTGAGTGGTCTAGTTACAGTTTTGACTTAAATCAGCTTGAAGATCTGTGGCAAGAGTTGGAAATGGCTGTCCAGCAATGATTAACAACCAACTTGAGCTTGAAGAATGTTAAAAAGAACAATGGGCAAATATTGTACAATCCAGGTGTGCAAAGCTCTTAAAGACTTACCCAGAAACACTCACGGCTGTAATCGCTGCCAAAGGTGATTCTAACATGTACTGACTCAGGGGTGTGAATACTTATGTAAATTATATATTTCTGTATTTCATTTTCAATACATTTGCAAAAATGTCTAAAAACATGTTTTCACTTTGTCATTATGGCGTATTGTGTGTAGATGGGTAAAAAAATAAATGTTTTATCCATTTTGAATTCAGGCTGTAACACAACATAATGTGGAATAAGTCAAGGGGTATGAACACTTTCTGAAGGCATTGTAGCATCATGTTTTTGGCGACATGGGCAAAGTGCAAGTTAATAACTGTTATACTAACTGACAAACAGTTAGATATTTTTCCTGGGATCCATCTCTAGACTCCGGGCCTGTCCTCTCCGTCAGTCATTGACAAGTCATTATGCTGCTGCTCTTTCATTCTTTTTTATTTTTTATTTTTTACTTATCTATTTTTTTACTTAACACTTGTTTTTCTTAAAACTGCATTGTTGGTTAAGGGCTTGTAAGTAAGCATTTCACTGTAAGGTCTACACCTGTTGTATTCGGCGCATGTGGCAAAAACATTTTGATTTGATTTGACTGGAGGTGTGACGTATATCAGGCCTTAACACCTATGCAAGGCCTGTCAGCATAAGTCATTGTAATAAGTTACTACATTTGCTAATTAAATGCAGTGTTTGTGGTGCTGGAGCCTCCATAGATACAGATCCACATGGTTAGACTACACATAAACCAGTGACACCTCCATAGAGACAGATCCACATGGTTAAACTGCACATAAACCAGTGACACCTCCATAGAGACAGATCCACATGGTTAGACTACACATAAACCAGTGACACCTCCATAGAGACAGATCCACATGGTTAGACTACACATAAACCAGTGACACCTCCATAGATACAGATCCACATGGTTAGACTGCACATAAACCAGTGACACCTCCATAGAGACAGATCCACATGGTTAACTGCACATAAACCAGTGACACCTCCATAGAGACAGATCCACATGGTTAGACTACACATAAACCAGTGACACCTCCATAGAGACAGATCCACATGGTTAGACTACACATAAACCAGTGACACCTCCATAGATACAGATCCACATGGTTAGACTGCACATAAACCAGTGACACCTCCATAGAGACAGATCCACATGGTTAGACTACACATAAACCAGTGACACCTCCATAGAGACAGATCCACATGGTTAGACTACACATAAACCAGTGACACCTCCATAGAGACAGATCCACATGGTCAGACTGCACATAAACCAGTGACACCTCCATAGAGACAGATCCACATGGTTAGACTACACATAAACCAGTGACACCTCCATAGAGACAGATCCACATGGTCAGACTACACATAAACCAGTGACATAAACAGCATACATGTTTTGCAGTGTTCTCATTAGTTCTGTGTTTTATTGTATTGTAAGTACACACAATGTACCTGAGAACAGTGGAACAATGTGTCCAATGTGTAATTAGAATATTTGTTAAACTGCACGTACAATAATAAGAACACTGTAAAGTAAAATCAGTATTTTCTCACAGACACCAAATACAGACTGTACATCAAACAGATCAGAGAAGAACAGCTTTCCTCATACAAGTGAACCCATTCAACCCCATACAAGTGACCCCATCCAACCACATCCAATCCCATCCAACCCATTCCAACCACAGCACACCCCATCCAACCACACCACACCCCATCCAACCCGATCCAACCACACCACACCCCATCCAACCCCATCCAACCACACCCCATCCAACCCCAACCACACCCCATCCAACCCCATCCAACCCGAACCTCACCACACCCCATCCAACCCCATCCAACCCGAACCTCACCACACCCCATCCAACACCATAAAAACCCACTGCAGCACAACACCACCTACCTCCCCCATGACTCTGGCACAGGTAAGGGAATCTCCATACGTTCCCCAGCCCCACACAGAACCCCACGCAGGTGAGCATGTACTGGGTCTTGTTGTCCCATTTGGGCCTGTCTCCACTCCCAGCCTCCTCCGTTTCCAGCTTATCCAGCTCCTCATGGGACAGGATCCTGTCTTCCAGGCCTGGGTTGGGCAGCTGTATTCTCATGGTTCCTCCAATGTAGATGGCCAGATTCAGCAGTGTGACAGGGGAGAGCTGGTCAGTAGGGTACCTGTAGCTGGTACACTATAGCTGAGGTGTGGAAAAACTCTTTGCCAACTTTGCAAAACAGCCTTTATACTGAACTTGTTTTAGGAGATGATTGCTTTACCAAGCGGAAGAGGGACACGTGAAGTTATCTTGTCAAGTGTGACTCAACCAAAATAACACGTTCAACAATAATTAATATGTTATCTGAGAGGGAGGTGTCAGGGATGCACAGAGCCATCCTGTATCTCTTTGTGTATCCTACTGTGTGCTCTTTCTGAAAATATGTTTACGACACCCAAAGTTCAAATACTGATGTTTAACCACTAGGCTATAGGGCAGGGGTGGACAAACCTTTTGGCTCAAGGGCCACATTGAGTTTTTGAAACCAAGTGAAGGGCCACATACTATATGCTTGACAAAACATGTGAAGCCTTTATTCATTTTAACATTGACATGCAACTACTAGTGTACTGTATGCTTGCAGAACAATTCTACCCTTGTACCATTTCTACCCTTGTTTTTTGTGAACAACATTTTCACAAAATTGATATAATTTATAAGATCACAGTCAAACTTACAGTCACAATATGCAAACTTAAAAATAGATATATAAATTATTATATGACTGGAGACATGCAAAATGTAACAGCAAAAAAAAACTATTCTAAAATTTGAGTGAAACATATGGTAAGAGCATCCGTTTCATTTGAAATGGTCCGTTTTTGAAAGCATATTAAGGAACAATTCTCATCTCCATTGTGAGCCATATTTACAGTTATCCAATCACCTCAGTCCAAATCTGACTGATTAGTTATTACCTGTATCCAAGTGCATTGCTGCATAATTGTCACTGCATGACCATCACCATGAAAAAGCGTCATCCTTGCCTTCCCCAGTCACGGTTATTCAAGTCTTAATGTGAACAATGGGTGTGGTCACCTCTCTTGGCAAGGGCATCAAAGTCTGCTGTCATCTTTGATGTAGAGATTCTCAGAACAGCTGACAAGTGGTCATTTGTTAAATTTGACCTGTGACAGGATTTGTTGTAATTCATGAATGAGAACGTTTGTTCACACATACAGTGGGGGAAAAAAGTATTTAGTCAGCCACCAATTGTGCAAGTTCTCCCACTTAAAAAGATGAGAGAGGCCTGTAATTTTCATCATAGGTACACGTCAACTATGACAGACAAAATTAGAATTTTTTTCACAGAAAATCACATTGTAGGATTTTAATGAATTTATTTGCAAATTATGGTGGAAAATAAGTATTTGGTCAATAACAAAAGTTTCTCAATACTTTGTTATATACCCTTTGTTGGCAATGACACAGGTCAAACGTTTTCTGTAAGTCTTCACAAGGTTTTCACACACTGTTGCTGGTATTTTGGCCCATTCCTCCATGCAGATCTCCTCTAGAGCAGTGATGTTTTGGGGCTGTCGCTGGGCAACACGGACTTTCAACTCCCTCCAAAGATTTTCTATGGGGTTGAGATCTGGAGACTGGCTAGGCCACTCCAGGACCTTGAAATTCTTCTTACGAAGCCACTCCTTCGTTGCCCGGGCGGTGTGTTTGGGATCATTGTCATGCTGAAAGACCCAGCCACGTTTCATCTTCAATGCCCTTGCTGATGGAAGGAGGTTTTCACTCAAAATCTCACGATACATGGCCCCATTCATTCTTTCCTTTACACGGATCAGTCGTCCTGGTCCCTTTGCAGAAAAACAGCCCCAAAGCATGATGTTTCCACCCCCATGCTTCACAGTAGGTATGGTGTTCTTTGGATGCAACTCAGCATTCTTTGTCCTCCAAACACGACGAGTTGAGTTTTTACCAAAAAGTTCTATTTTGGTTTCATCTGACCATATGACATTCTCCCAATCCTCTTCTGGATCATCCAAATGCACTCTAGCAAACTTCAGACGGGCCTGGACATGTACTGGCTTAAGCAGGGGGATACGTCTGGCACTGCAGGATTTGAGTCCCTGGCGGTGTAGTGTGTTACTGATGGTAGGCTTTGTTACTTTGATCCCAGCTCTCTGCAGGTCATTCACTAGGTCCCCCCGTGTGGTTCTGGGATTTTTGCTCACCGTTCTTGTGATCATTTTGACCCCACGGGGTGAGATCTTGCGTGGAGCCCCAGATCGAGGGAGATTATCAGTGGTCTTGTATGTCTTCCATTTCCTAATAATTGCTCCCACAGTTGATTTCTTCAAACCAAGCTGCTTAACTATTGCAGATTCAGTCTTCCCAGCCTGGTGCAGGTCTACAATTTTGTTTCTGGTGTCCTTTGACAGCTCTTTGGTCTTGGCCATAGTGGAGTTTGGAGTGTGACTGTTTGAGGTTGTGGACAGGTGTCTTTTATACTGATAACAAGTTCAAACAGGTGCCATTAATACAGGTAACGAGTGGAGGACAGAGGAGCCTCTTAAAGAAGAAGTTACAGGTCTGTGAGAGCCAGAAATATTGCTTGTTTGTAGGTGACCAAATACTTATTTTCCACCATAATTTGCAAATAAATTCATAAAAAATCCTACAATGTGATTTTCTGGAAAAAAGAATTCTCAATTTGTCTGTCATAGTTGACGTGTACCTATGATGAAAATTACAGGCCTCTCTCATCTTTTTAAGTGGGAGAACTTGCACAATTGGTGGCTGACTAAATACATTTTTTCCCCACTGTATGTGGACCCGAATAAAACAAGCATCCTTTGGGCGTGCTTTTTAATGTTTGGAAACTTTGTTTCATTCAGTGAGCCATAGAAGTGGTCTATTGTTGCTGTTTTGTACTTCTCCTTCAAAGCACTGTCACATTGGATGTCAATGAGCTCCGATTGTGTGTCTGGGGGTGCTTTCTCACTGTCGAAAGACAGGTGGCATGATACAAGCTCCAGCTCAGTCTCAATCTTGGTGAAGTCTGAGAAGCGGCGGGAACTCAGCATGCAGGTCGATCAAAGTGCTACTGTATGTCTCAGTGTGGCACTGCAATGTGGGCGCGTTCAGTGCGGCCAGTGTCGGAAAATGAGCGAGAGACCGGCTGCTCATTTGTCTGGAGAACAACATAAGTTTGGCCTTAAATGCTTTCACGTTGGAATACAGTTCATGCACAAAAACACAATTTCCCTGCAGTTTCTCATTTAGATCGTTCAGATAACCCAATATGTCCACACCACAAGTCCTGGTGCTCTGCCTCTGTGTCATTGAACAGCTGAATGAACTGACAATGGTTAAACACCCTTGTGCGTATAAAGTTGACAAGTTATACAACCACTTTGACAACATTTTCAAGCTTTAATACACTTTTACACAGGGCTTCCTGATGAATAATACAGTGAATAAATATAAATTCCTCCGAGTTAGGGCTTCCTTCTTTTACTTTGTCTTGTAATCTTTTTAGTAGGCCAATGTTTTTACCGGTTAGATTTGGTGATCCATCTGTTGTGACGTTTGTCAGTTTGCTCCATGGTAGATTCATTTTTTCCAAGCAGGCAGACACCCTGTCATATAAATCAGAGCCCCTGGTTGTTCCCATCATTGATTCCATCACAATATGTTCCTCTGTTATTTCAAAGTTCTAATTTTTTCTCTGACAAAAATTAAAAGTTGAGCGGTGTCTCTGATGTCTGTACTCTCATCCAGTGCTATAGAAAAAAGATCGAAGCCATCTGCTTAGTTAGCATGCTTGATTGAAAAAAAATGAAGATTGAGATTATATTCCTTAAAAATGGCAACACTTTCTTGGCATATCAATATTAGTAAAGAAAAGTATTTTGCTGTCCATTCTTCTTTAAACACACAACATTCAGAGTCTACTTTTCTCATTTCCGCAGCACTCATTTTTCACTTAAAAAGTTGTCAAGCAATGAAGTGGCTATGATGACTGAGCGCATGTATGAAAAAAAAAAATGTATGCACTCACTAACTGTAAGAGCGTCTGCTAAATGACTAAAATGTAAAAAATGTAATTCTGAATCTGACTGTAGGCCCAAATACAGAGCGCGCTGCCAGGCTACAGCGCCATCTATTGGAAGTTGTTTGTATAATAAATCGTAATTGAAATATAATAATATTTAATACATTTAAAAATGTCTCGCTGGCCGTACTTCCGACCCCCCTTCTATAGGTTTCAACATTCAATGTCAGGGAGGTTATCAACTCCAGGTGTAAAAAATAACCTCAGTAGAATGTATGGCCAGTGAAAAGGTAAATGGTTTATGATTCTAGATCAGTGATAGTGTTTAGGGCCCTGAGTGTTTCTAGATCAGTAATCATGTTTAGGGCCCAGAGTGGTTCCTTGATCAGGTTCGCTGGTCAGGAAAAACTCCTAGCCTTAATCATGTTCCTTGCATCTCTCATCTATAGAAAATCAGCAGAGTGGAATAATTTGTAATGAACATGGCAACACAAAACCAGAACAAATCATCATCGTTATTAAGAAAATTATAGCTATAGGTAAAATATTATATTTTTCATTTACCAATCAATACATACAACAACAATCTTTCAAAGTTGCAGTATTTGTCAGTAAGCCACTGTACTGTACTGTCCCCACAGGCTACAGGCAACGATGCATTGTATTTCAAGTCTCTCTTCACACGGCCACAGGAGGTCGCCAACACGCGTACAATGTGAAGGTCCAATCCTGCATCGTCCTGACAGCGCGCTGGCTGCTGCTACTGGCGGAGTTTGCGCTAGAGGAGGGAGTCCCTATCCCACTACCGTCAGACACCACAAGTCTAGCAGTCGCGTCCGCAGCGCAGTCTGCTTCAGCACCTTGCCTGCCTGGCTGCCTGCAATGCCCTTGGATACGGCAGTCCCTCTCATCTCTACACAATTTACATTATTCTAAACGCGAGAATAATAGCTGGAAAATACTTCAGGACAGGACGAGGGATACTGGATTTATATTACAGTGTGACGGCGTTCAGTGTCTTTATTTATGTGAGCCTGTATGGGGCGAATGGAGAGGAGGGTGCATCGATAATTGAGGGAGCAGAGCAGGAATTGCTGCCTGCTGCAGAAAACCAGACCGCTCGGTGGATTTGGATTTGTTGCTGGGACCAGCAGTCGGGCGCGGGGTTGCGGTCATATCAAAGGATTTCGCCAGACGGAGCGCTTCTACTTTTTGAGACCCGAGTTCTAAAAAACCGTCTTGCATGGATACAACATCATGGCTACGTTTGTATGCAGGGTACAGTTCTTAGATGATACGGATCCATTCAACAGCACCAGTTTTCCTGAGCCGACCAGACCCCCTCAGTACACTTTCCGAGAAGATATCCCCCTTATCAATCAGATTGCTGGAGTCCACAGGCTTCTCAAAGCCCCACACAAAGTATGGGAAGTGTTTTATGGCTTTATTCGTTCTGGCAACTTCATTCTTTAGTATTCTTCGAACTTTTTCTATGCATAGAAATTGGAGAATGTAGCCAATTTGGGTTGTTTTGTCATATTAATATTGAAGTCCTAGAATAGTGATGTCAATGGTAATGACACAATAATGCAATTGCAAACTCATATCCCCTAACTCAAAATTGTTAGTCAACATAGTTATTTTACTGTGATCACTTTCACCTGTGAATTAGGTTTAGGCATCTGCACCACTGATTCACCAGCATGCAAAAGTTGATGTTTTGAAAACATTTTTTTAATCTTGCAGCCAAGGTATTCTGAAATGGAGGCCATATTGATCTATTTCAGGACCAAATGTAACCAATCATAACCAATCAAGTGTCCAGTCAAGTGTTAACAGGTTTCAGGATGGGTACTGTACTGTACATCAGTGATTTGAGTCAGCCTACACAGGATATCTATGGCTATGACTCCCCACAATAGCGGTGACTGCATGTAATCCACAGCTCAGTGGCTTTAATACTTTCCTCTAATCAGGATGGAGAAACCATTAATGGTAAAGTAAACATTCTCTTGATTGATGCTACCGGCCTGGGAGAATAAGACATCAATGGTTTGACAGTCAATTCAGAGCATGTCGAAAATGTAAACAAACTATGAATACCATGCCCAGAGGGCTAGTTTTAGGAGCAGTGTTAGTGTGGTATTCACTGGGGTCTAGTGGAACGCTGCATGCATGGACAGCTGATGAGGACCATGCTGGAATGGATGGACAGACCTAGGTGGCGTCCTAAATGGCACCCTATTCCCTATATAGTGAACAGCTTTGGACCACGGCCCATAGGGTATTCAGCATTCCATAACATTAAGGACCTAGGTCAAAATAAGTCTACTATATACCTAGGAGATGGGGTGCCATTTGGGACGCAGTCTATAGACTGGACGGGTGGGAACTAGACTGCCATGCCATGGCCTTGGTCAGGGGGACAAGCAGCTGTGACCGTTAAATGGTGTTCTCCCTAGGCAGACGGGTTGCCTTGCCTAGCCCACATTAACCATCATCCTGTTGCCCTAGGTCTGGAATTTCTGAGACTAGTTAAATGGTGACCACAACAGTAAACCTCTGTTTAGCTGACCTGATCTCTTCACCACAACCAGTAATTGACCAAAGTTATCGGAATCTTCTGAAAATGTGGTAATTAACAAAAAGTCTATTGCAATCTAACGTAACTTTGGTAATTTATACTTGAATAACTTTAAAAAAAATATATATTGATATATATATAGTATTCATTTTTTATATCTGTGTCCATATTGTCCATGTGTTTCTAGTAGATAGACCATATGGTTTAAATAAAAATAGCCTAATTAATTTTAAAAAAGCATCTAATCAACAATGGCATTATTTTCAATTACTATTGACTTTTTTCACACCTGCCACCAGTTTGACACCAAAACATTGATAAGAAATACATGTTGACAGGATATTTCATGCTGAAACCCTCATATTAAACACCAATGGTATTCACTAAGTTGATGGTTTAAATTTAGGATCATGTTTTACAGCTTTGTCATTATATTTTCTGTTTTAAAATCATCTTATTAAATAATTTCATATATTTTACATGTGATAATGCCAGAGAGAGGGCCAGATATAATTACAGATACCTGTGATAATCTGAAGTACCCAAAAGGGCCAGTATATGTATTGTGGTAGAGTACATAAAATCCTTGAAAGATACCAAAATTATGGTAGTTTACTGTTAAACTTAGAACGTTTCGAGTAATATACCCTCCCTTTGCAACCTAACCACGACTCTATTAACGTAGAACAGTGTTTCCTAACCAGGGGTACTAGGACAATCCACAGGGGGTACTTGAGAAGACTGGTAAAATACACATGAGGGGGTACTTGAGGGGTACTCCGGGCAGAGCAAAATTCAGTTGGTGGTACAGTAACCAAAAAAGGTTGGGAACCGCTGCCGACTGATGCAACAACCACACAATGGCCAATGTGCCCTTTGGTTTCTAACGGGGCCGCTGGGAAAGACAATATTATTGTGCTGTTGTAGTGAAGAGACAAACAATCAAACAAAAAAGAAAGAAATGTAACAGTTAACGCTATCCTAGGTTTGACATCTTGTCATCTTGTGGTTCTTTGCACAACTTTTGACTTACAACTCAGATTTCCCACTCCTATTTGATAGTTTTAGACCACGTCCAATGATCTATTGTTCATACGGAATGGTATTTAGACACTGCTTGTAATTTTGATTAACCAGTCTTTGAAAATCTATACTCAGAATGTTTTTCTGGTACCAAGTCTCTCTTGTGACTGTGACATCATAGGTATAGCATCCTTGCCTTGTTTAAGCATCTCTGTGTCAACTATGCTGAATCATTGGCTGGCTCCTTTGAATAGTAAACATTTTGACCTATCGTCCTCAACATAGCCCTCAAAATTAGCCTACTTTTCCATTTCAATGTAATTTCTCATCTTCACTGGATTTCTTTCCTTTTTCCATTCCCCTCCGGCTTCATGGTAGATGTTTGGACACCTCAGCGTTCCTGTATTTGGCCACTAATGCCTCATGTCTGTCTTCATTTATCCCCACTTATTCCAGGAGGCGATATGTTTCATTGTTATGTCTGCTTTGGCTAAATAGTTGGCCTACACCCATATCATTGTATTGGCAGTTTCAAACAGATCAAAGAAAGTTGGCCTCTCCTTCTCAATATCTTTCTTTTAGAAAATCCCTAACAGTGACAAATGATGTCAACCAGATGCTTAGCTATTCTTTGTCTCTGACGATCATTCAGAGGATCCCTCCCTCTCCAGTTGAGATATAAACCTACTTCCCAGTCCTGATGGATTTATCTGGATCTAAACACATTGTCAGAGGGCCTCATCCTCTGACCATGACATTTAAACAGAGTGAAGAGGAGAAGAGGCCCATTGGGTTTGGAGACAGAGGAGCTGACTCTTATGTTGAGCATTCATCAGCCCCGGTTGAAAAGTCACGCAGGTCCCTAATACAAAGTTAATTTGGGATCTTTCTTCATTCTGTCAGATCAATTGTCTTTTTCACTGGGTTTGAGAAGAGCTCGGTAGATAATAAGTCACGGAAACCCACAGGATGCTGTGGAACACCACAAGAGCCTGGTTTTCATTCTAGAACCCGTTCCACTCCACTCTGCTCTGACCAACAGGATGGGAAGGGAACTCTCTCCCTGCTGCCTGCTCTGATGAAAAGGGGAGGGAAGGAGGCTGACAAAAAGTCTGGCTGGACTTGTTTGGTTTCCACACTCGGTTGGTCTCCATCTCCTGCTGCACCAGCCTTAGTTTAAGCAGAAGGCAGTTTAGCAGAAGGCCTACGGCACCACAAAGTGCCAACGAAAGGCTCTGTGATGCCCTGCCTGTGAACTAACTGATGCACTAGCGGTTAGCTTTCAACTGGCTAACCAGACAGCAGCAGCTGTAGTTGTCAATAAGAGCCCAGGCAGATACCATAGGACTGTCTCAAAGGGGAAACCTTATTCTTTATGTCTATGTTGAAACTCGAAAGTATCCATGGCTCTGTGTTTTAACATTTTCACATCCACTTGTCTTCAGTGAGTTATTGGTAGGCATTTACTACCATAGACACCAGTAAACACACGTACAAACACATTCAGACAGATATGCAAGTTCCCAATTGCACAGTCATACATTGACCACCTGTGTCTCAAAGGGTTGCCTCCCCACCCGCTACATCTCTGGGGATGACTGAGAGTGGATATACAGACTGGGATGAATAGCCCAGTGCTAACACATGGTACCAGGAGAGCCAGACAGGACAGCACACTAGCAGATGCGGCTGCTGTCCCAGACTTGCTTCCTCCCTCTCCTGCTCCTGTCAGTTCCAACCTGACTGACTGCAGTCTCTCTGGGGATGAGAGGTGGAGACGGCTGGGGATGGAGGGGGGGAGGGGGGGGGGGGGGGGGTGATGCCATGGGGACCTGCCTGCCTCATTGCTTACATTGACAATCAGCTCAAATAGGCAATGCTCTCTGAGCATTCATACACAATCAGTATCATATTCAGTTTGTGTTGGATTTAGAACGTCTTTGTGCACGAGCATGGATTGCGTTATTTTACTTACACACAAAGTCTAACCTTCAAATAGCACTCAGCATCCTCTGTGTGTAGATACCACTGAAACTCTTTGATCAGAGTTCGATAGAACAGAACGTACGAGGCATGGCCTGACTCAGGATTTCATGTCATAATTCAGTCCTGCGTAATGTATTGTCCTTTTGGATGACTAGGCAGACTGTGAATAGACACAGTGCGTTCAGTATGCTAGGGCTGTGACCCACAGTCAGCCCAATGTATAACCGTGGGCACACTGCCTGTCCCCCAGGACATCTACAGCACATGGTGTCACAGTCAGGCCAAGAGGATTATCAAAGACCTTCTGAGCCACGGCCT